CTTAAAGGCTCATCAAAACCACATCTCAGTCTTTAATGTTCACCTGGGTGGAGATCCCACTTTGGATTTGATGATCCATCTGAACAGTGCTGGACTGGTGAAGCAAGCCTGACAGGGAAAGCAGCAGCTGCTTCTGTATCACACATGTAGGCATTCACAGTTTCAACACAAGCCCATGCCACCCACTGGGGGTGCCGGAAGGAACAGGCAATGATGTGGAGGAGATGGGAGGCTTCTGGTTGCCAGTCCTGGCAACTGGATGCTCTAAATCCTTTTATTAACATGATTAATTGCATTAGGGTGGTTTGTGCTCTCTCTCTCTCTCTCTCTCTGCTGATTGTGTTTGTACATGTGCTTAAAACTGTCTATAATGAATAAAATTTGGAACTTCGTAAAAGACAAAAAAGTTACTGGCAAAAATGAAAACAATAGGAGGCATAGCTTGTTAACATAGCTTTGTCCAGGTGGGATGGCAGGTGGGTCATTGCTTAAAGCTGGCCATAAATTTAACAATTTTCTTTCCTGAAACCACGCGTTGCAGGAAAGAAAGTTTTTCGATTTCCCCATCAACCCAATCAGAGTTGATGGGGGAATCCCTCCCATGGAGCCATTGTGTTCTCCTGGCGGGTGGGCAGGGGGAGTCATCAATAATAGCCACTAGAAATAATCACATATAAAATCTGACATTCTGGTTGTACCCAAGTTGATTAATCAGTCAACTTGGGTACATTCAGCCTGCCCATACATGGTTTGAATCTCGGCCGGTTCCTGCTGAAATGGCTTGGATTTGACCTAAATGTGTAAGAAGATTGCAAGTTAATTAGTTTTGCCTTAGTGCACTAAACTACTACCAGAGGTTATGTTGTCTTATTTCAAAAGAGTGCTGTCATTTTACAAGAAAGACTACTATGTTATATCATAGAAATCTTCAAGTTAACCCAACTTTTTTTTTTCCCCAGAGAGAGTATCCACATTACAAGAGAGAGCTGCCCTGTTACCAAAGAATTGGATGTTACCAGCGTGGGCTAGTTTAGATTCGTTCAGTGCACAAGACGTACGCTCGTAGGATACAGGTACACGCATATATTTTTTCCTATAGGGTGGAGATATCTTTGCATCCTATTATTATGGTAAGCACAAGAAGAACAAGCCAGAATACAAAACAGAGAAAATTAATACACAGTGAGGGTTTAATAAAAGTATTTGTGGAGCATTACCAGGTAGACACCAAAATAACAAACCAGACAGAGAAATATCAGGCTCATGTACACTGCAACTGCTTAACAGGAGCTTTTCTGCATTTTTTTAGCAGCCCCTGAACTCTCCCTGTTTTCCTATGTGTCCATGTACACATAGTCGTTTACAGGCAGTTGAGTTTACAGTCATTTTTTTGAATGCACCAAACTTGCATTCAGGAGTAGATTTTATCAGTGTTTCAAACGCCAAACGCTTGTAAACACGTATAAATGCAGTTAACTGACTATATAAGAGTTTGCGTTTAGAAGCGTTTTTGTAGCTGTTCCATATCCAGATGCTGCCCAGAGCCTTTTTCATCATCAGAAATGCATGCAAAGAGTTTTCCATGTATTCTAATGGACCCGGTACACCAGCGCAGTCAGTTCCAGGTTTTGCGTGAAGGAAAAAATGGTAGAACATGCCGCATTATGCTCATGATGGGATCCATAGATACATAGTTAGTCTGGCTGAAAAAAGACAAAAGTCCATCCAGTTCAACTATAGAGAAAAAAAAAAGTTATTATCCTATACCCACAGTTGATCCAGAGGAAGGCAAAAAAAACCCCCAGCAAAGCATGATCCAATTTGCTCCTGCTGGGAAAATATTCCCTCCGATCCCCCGAGAGGCAATCGGATATTCCCTGGATCAACTTTATCAATAAATATTAGTATCCAGTTATATTCTGTGTATCTAAGAAACAATCCAGGTCTTTTTTGAAGCAATCCACTGAGCTGGCCAGAACCAACTCTTGAGGGAGTCTATTCCATATTTTCACAGCTCTCACTGTGAAGAAACCTTTCCGTGTTTGGAGATTAATTTTCTTTTCCTCCAGACGTAAATAGTGCCCCCTTGTCCTCTGTGATGACCTCAGGGTGAATAGCTCTACACCAAGTTCATTATATGAACCACTGATGTATTTATACATGTTGATCATATCCCCCTTAATCTCCTCTTCTCAAGAGAGAATAAATTCAGTTCCTCTAATCTTTCCTCTTAACTGATCTCCTCCATACCTCTTATCAGTTTGGTTGCCCTTCTCTGCACTCTCTCCAGTTCCTCAATGTTCGTTTTGTGAATTGGTGCCCAAAACTGAACTGCATATTGCAGATGAGGTCTTACTAATTTGTACAGGGGTAATATGATATCTCTCTCTCTGGAGTCTATACCTCTTTTAATGCAAGAGAGGATTTTGCTCGCTTTAGAAACCGCAGCTTGGCATTGCATGCCATTATTAAGCTTGTGATCTACCAGAACTCCCAGATCCTTCTCCACCATTGATTCCCCCAGTTGTACTCCCCCTAGTGAATACAACCAGAAAAGACAGGTCATCTCGACACATACTTCTCTCTCTGCTTCTGCTCTCTCTATTTCTCTCAAAATGTCTGAAATAATTTTTAACCGTTTTTCCGTGCATTCTGGGAAATTTGGAAGGTCTCCTGAGGTTATCTTAAAAAAAGCTTCTAATCGTAAATGCACATAAACGCGCATAAACGTGGTATGCAAACATGGCTAAATAGATGTTTTTTAACCTACGTTTTCCAGCAGTCAGTTTCCATCATTCAGAAGAGTTTTCCAAACGTACCATGTACATGAGCCCTAAAAATGCAGTAAACTGAGAAACTAAATATTAAAGTGTACATATAGACTAACCTTGTTTAAAATTTTGGATAGAGCAGTGAAAGACAAAAACCCCAGTCAATTTAGTGTGTGTGTGAATTGGAGAGCTTTAGCTTAACTTGTTGTCACAAAAACAGTAAGGGAGAGGACATTTCTACTAAGCAGTTTATTCCCTTCTTAGACAGTTGTCCCTGGAACTGGTATCCACATTAGAAGAATTCCCCTTTTTTTCTATCCCAATGACAACTCAAAGTGCACTATTTTCTCTCACTTTCAGTTTCAGTAACAATGTTCACCAGGACCAATGTGGGCAATTTCTAAGGAGGGGGACAAGAAAAACTCAAAGCGGATGTCCAGCTTTTAGGGAAAATAATTAATTCCTTTGTACCTTAACTAATATATTTACTACTAGATGTACCCACTGCTCGAACTGTATACTGTACATGGCCTCAGATACAACAATTTATATTGTATAATAGAAGCTATAATAGCCTCTAGTGATAAATGCATTTAAAATCTGGCAGGCTGGTTGTACCCAGGCTGATCGATCAATTAACTTGGGTACATTCAGCCTGCCTATACATGGTTCAAATCTTGGCCGGTTCCTGCTGAATCAAGTCAGGCTGAGCGCTGCTCAGCCATTCAAAAGGAGCTTTGTATTCTATGATATCATGATCTCTGTCTCAACCAATCAAAGGAAGCTTTGTATTCATTCATAGAACACAAAGCTCCCTGTGAATGGCTGAGCAGTGCTATTGTTTCAGGAGCAGGGCGGGAAGTGTCTGTCCCACTGCCAGCATACATTGTATACTGTACGTAGCTGAGGCTACATACAGATTATACTGTGCACACAGTGGACACATCTAGTAGTGATGTTAATAGTTTATTTAGATCAGCCTGATCCAACTTGGTTAAACTTCACTAAAAGCTGGAGATCAGGAGATTCTAAACCTTTCCTACTGTATCCAAGACTATACTGGGCACCAGTAAATTGGCAGATCCTAATCAGTTTAAAGTTGAGATAGTTTTTGGCTTTGATGGAACCCTAACAACTCTACTATATGTGGAATAGAAAATGTTGTGTTTACTTGCATGTATTTTACATTTCAGAATGATTCTATTATGTGCATAATAAAACCAAGCTTAAAATATGTTTCTACCTCCCCTCGTACTAATGTCCTTACTGGTGTTGCATTACTAATTGCAAAAAAATGGCTTCCTTAGACAACAACAAAATGAAATGGCTTAAAAAGCAGGACTTATGAGCAACAGCCTGCACTAACCATGTATCTGACAAATTCATGTCACATCTAGATGATTATATCTATTAGCTTTTTTCCTGCTGATTTAAGAATTCAACAGTATATTGGAACTTTAACTTTTTTCTTTTCATTTTGACCTACTTAAAGCAAACCTTTCACCCAAAATATGACTAATTTTCTTTATCTGTCATCCTAAAAGCTTTGTAATAGCAATGAAAATTACAGTATTTATTAAAAAAAAGACTACCTTTGATCAGTTTCCCACTAACCAGGCCTTCAGCTCAGGCACTGGTGATGTAGTCAGTGTCTTTCCCAAAGCCTTCTTAGAATGATACGTTACTAGAGCCCTGCAGATCATGCATAAAGAAATAGAAATATATAAGGGGGTCCACCTGCTTCTGTTTGGTGTGTGCTGCATATTTTTTAGATGTTTATATATTTGTAAAAGGTATTCATTTTTATGTATGATTTTTGTAATGCTAGTGCACTCATTTAACACCTGGTTATGTTTTGTTAGTAGAAAGACTAGAGACCTGAATAACCAGTCAGAATTCCAATTTCCTAAGAAACTTTTTGCCTAGTTTAAATTTTATCCATTATGGGTCAATGCTCACTTAAAGGATAAGTTCACTTTTTTAAAATAAAAATAAAAAATGCCCATTTTTTTGCAGGTTAAAAAAATGTGCATTTACTTTTTTCTTTTTCTTTTTTTGAGACTGTAAAACATTTCACCACCGATCCGCAGATAGTTTTACATGGACAGGAAGACTCAATGAACTACCACAGTGCTCAACAGAGCCCTGGTAGTTCATTGAGTAGTTCACAGAAGTCTGTGAATCAGTGCATGTCTATCTGCTTCTAGAGATTCCTTTTTGCATTGCATTCTTTTTGCATTGCTACTCAACCCCAGGGACGGACTGACCATTTGGAAACTCGGGCACTGCCCAAGGGCCCGGGGTCAGTAGGGGGCCCCACGAGATGCCCCTGGTACCTTTTTCATAGGCTTTTTTGAGTTTGGGCAAGGACATAGGGGCCCCATGATCCCCTATTGCCCGGGGGCCCATGAGTTGTCAGTCCGCCCCTGCTCAACCCTATTTGTCCTGTGTACCTGCACACCTTTTCCTATTGTCTGTATGTTTCTTTTTGCCTGTACTTCCTACTATCATGTGATCCCTGGGACTCAGAGCTACAAAGGATTCTTATCTGTTTTTCAGTCCTTAGGTCCAGTAGTTGCCTGCTTATGTGAGCCCAAGAAACGCAACCTAGGGATTGTCTACGGATTGTCTGCAGTGCACCACCTTCACAAATCTCTGGAGAAGACCAGGTGGTTCCATAAACTCTTCCAAGGGCCCTCACCTTTGCTATATGTGCAAGTATGCTGTGTTCTCCCCAGACAATACCAGTAGGTGTCCTTCTTGTCTTAACTCCTTGTGTACCTCATCTGTATCCTGTGTACCTCAATGTTCCTTATATTGTTAGTTTTGTTCCTGTAAGCTTAGCATACCACTGCTGCTAAGATACTCCTGTCTTTCTGTGAGCTCTGCAGTTCAGTGCAGTAAGTGTTTAATATTAGTATTCCTTGTCTTGCCAGTACGTCAGTGTTGCATTATACGCCTGCCATTCCTTTAAGTCCTGCATTCTGTGCTTTCTAAAATCCTTGTCCTTGTGCCTCTCTGTACCAGGTCAGGTGTAGTCTGCATGGGTGCTTTGTCTGAGCACATGGCCATCCAGCATAAAGGCTGCACAAAGGGTTCACTATCCATACTATATATGATAGCCCTATTCATGACAGTTTACTCGGGCCATGGACTCCACTGATCACTAGCCAGAGACCAGACCCTTACAGGAAATCTTGCTTTGTAAACATAGCATACACCATGTCTCACTCAAGTTGCACCAGTAGAATCCTGTCTGCTAGGAGTAGTATTCCTCTCCCCAGTTTAAGACACTCTGTAAATAAAAGATGTATTTGTGTTCCTCTGCCCAGGTTTGTAGAGTTAAATCCTGAGAACATTACCAGGGACAAGTTGTTATATTAACCTTTTCTCCTGTGGTCACCCCGGGCAACTACTGTAAGTCACATCAAATTGCATTTTTTTTCTTTTTGAAGTGCCTGGGTGGAATAAATGTTTGATTGCAACCAGGGGCGGACTGACCATTTGGAAACTCGGGGACTGCCCGAGGGCCCGGGGTCAGTAGGGGGCCCCATGAGATGCCCCTGGTACCTTTTTCATAGGCTTTTTTGAGTTTTGGCAAGGACAAAGGGGCCCCATGATCCCCTATTGCCAGGGGGCCCCATGAGTTGTCAGTCCGCCCCTGATTGCAACTCCAATCCGCATGAAGATCTCAAAATGTTTATTGAATTCATGGTCAGTGCAAAAGACCACTTGCAGATTGCTCTATTCCTCCTTTTAGAGATCCATGCCACTATTTAAGTCGCAGACTAGTGAAATAGTGAAATAGTCTGTAGCAGACTATTTCACATATTGATTTAGCCTCTGGAGCCCTGTACCCCAGGTTAGCCTCTGAGGTCCTGCAGCCCAAGTGTGCCTCAGAGGTCCTGCAGCCCAAATGGTGTGCCCCTGAGGACTTGCAACAAGAGTGGTATGCTTTTGATGTCTCAAAGCTCAAGTATGCCTCTGAGGTTCTGTTTTTTTCCTTTGCCCCAGTACCCTGAGCTAGCTTCCTCTGTGCTTAAGACAAGCCCCTCTGATTCTAGGTTTGTTTCTTGTTGGTTGAATGCCAACCTTCCTTTGTCTGTGATCCCCATGCCTCTGCTAGTTTTAACTGTTACTTTACTCAAGACAGTCTCAGCTGTGTCTGTGCTCGAGCCAGTCTCAGCTATAACCATGCACAAACTAGTCTTGCCTGTGTCCGAGCCAGTTTCCCCCGTTCCTGTGCCCATGCCAGTCCCCGCTGTGTGTCAGCTGATCAGTCACTGTTTTTTCTAGGCTGCAATGCAAGACAAAGGAACTAAGCATATTAAATCCTCTTAGAATATAAATTAGAGTATGCTTTTTCAGAACCACAAGTCAGAAAAACTGAACTGATTAGCTGGGCAGTATGTACTATTTATTTGCTAAGATTCTATGGCAGAGGGAAATCTGGCAGACCTAATCTGGGACAAACAAACAATAGTCCATGTACTTGGTCCGCACCACCATTGCTGCTCCAAAAAAAAAATCTTCATTTATTGAAAAATCCACAGTGTACAAATCATGATACAAAAAGTTGATGCCTCAACTTGCAGTATTTCTTCCAGTAAACCTGCATTTTTTAGGACGCACTATTTCACAGATTTTATGCACATTAATGCTTCTTTTAAAAAAAAAGGCAATTTAGGTTGCAGGAAGAGGTTATATTTCAGCCAGTTATAATCAATCATACTGTTATTTTTATGACACATAATTTGTAAATCATCTTGCTTTTATACATAAAAAATAAATGGTGCTCAGCAGAGGCAATTTGAGAAGAAGAGGGCAGACAGGCTCCATCTGTAGATCCAAAAAATTACATTTTATTCTCCCTGGGACAAAGAATAAAAATGTTTTGAGGAATTATTTGCACATATTTCAAAGAGTGGGCAACAGGAATCACTGTTAGGCCAAACTACTTTAAACTGTATGTATTCTAAATTTCACAACTGAGGAGCAGCATGAGGAAACATTATTATGCTGTCCATATTTAATGCAGCTTCACTGAAATTCAACCAAAAAGGTATTGCCAAAGCAATATTTACCCAAAAATAGAACAATTTCTACATTCGTTAAGAAAATGTAAACGTGGGTTTCCAATATTAACAGAGGCAATAGCCCTAACCCAACACAAATATTCTTGCAGAAGAGAGGACTGACCTTGTCCATAAATTGTAAAAGATGTGCTACACAAAAGCCACACGAAATTGGGTTTTGGGTGCTGCTGGTACTTAAACACCATAACCCTACAGAAAAATTGCTACAGAGCACAGAATGGACACTACTTTAACAAACATTCACTATATCTGCAATTGTTACATAGCTGTGAAAAAATGGGTTTTGGGTGGTGGTGCCCAGACATCTTAACCCCACATATCCTTCAGAACACAGAATGAACCCTTTTAATAGAAGATTTGGGGTACCACATTATAATTGCTTTTGCACAAAAAAGCAGCTATGGCTCAATTTATACACGGTAATGATAGCAGGCCTACAACAGTGGCAGGTAGAGAGATGAGCTAACAGTGTCTGGGTGTGCTCATGGAGACTGGGTTTGGCTGGCAATGATGACAGCATGTAATATTTGTTTTGTGGTCTGTAGTGGTGAAGATTGCAATGCAGCAAAAAACTTACAGACAGGATCCCCCAATATTTAATCTGCAGAATCTGCATCAAGGACTTTGTAGCTGTTGCTAATCAAAGACTGGTTAATTTTCACAAATGTCTTCCCATCAACAGTGTCCATTGACAGATGTACTCTTATGACTGTCACAAAGCCCCTTTCAGCACTGAATGCATGTTCAGAGAGCATGCTGGCTTCAGGGAAGCCTAGCAGCTCAACTGCATATTGTGCAAGCTCTGGCCAGTGGTCTTTCCTCGTGACCCAGTAGTTAAGGGGGTCATTCATTCAGAGGGTCTCTACATCTGCTCTTACCCCCACATAATTGACCACCATGTGATGTAGCTGCTGCCGAGGCACTGAGGGATAACATTTTTTTAAAGGCACTCAGACAGACTCACTACTCCACTTTTCACTTACAGGAGGCTCAGAAGCACTTTGTCCATGAGAAGTTATTGTGCTAGCTTCTGCATGTGGGTGATACAGGTTCCTCTTTAGTGCATCCTCCAGTTGTCTCATCCTCTGTTCTCTCTGCAAGGGCGGAGACTTGTCAGACTCTCCCCCTCCAGAGGTTCTGTTACACACAGTGAAAGAAATGAAAGAGCTTTTTGCAATGGATGAGTGAGCAGTAGGGACTGGTTCCCATAGGGAACTTTTTTATTGAACTCAGTCCAGGAGAACCAAAGCTATTAACCCCCTGCACACTGGAAGTTCAGAGACAGGAAGAGGTTGGGACATCCCTACAGAAGCATTTCTACAGGATCCACCTACCTTCACTTCATTACTGGTAACATACAGTCAGGTCCATAAAGCCATTAGGGATAAAATAACATTTTTTTTACCACAAATGGATTTGAAATTAAAGAACAAGATGCTTTAACTGCAGACTGTCAGCTTTAATTTACATCAAATCAGGTGAACGGTGTAGGAATTACAACAGTTTGCATATGTGCCTCCCACTTGTCAAGGGACCAAAAAGTAATGGGACAATTGACTTCTCAGCTGTTCCATGGCCAGGTGGGTGTTATTCCCTCATTATCCCAATTACAATGAGCAGATAAAAGGTCCAGAGTTCATTTCAAGTGTGCTATTTGCATTGGAACCTGTTGCTGTCAACTCTCAAGATTCCAAAGAGCTGTCACTATCAGTGAAGCAAGCCATTTTGAAAAAACAAAACAAACCCATCAGAGAGATAGCAAATTACATTAGGCATGGCCACAACTGTTTGGAACATTCTTAAAAGAAGGAACGCACCAGTGATCAGCAACACCAAAAGACCCGGAAGACCACAACTGTGGTGGATGACCGAACGAATTCTTTCCCTGTTGAAGAAAAAACCCTTCACAACAGTTGGCCAGATCAAGAACACTCTCCAGGAGGTAGGTGTATGTGTTTCAAAGTCAACAATCAAGAGAAGACTTCACCAGAGTGAATACAGAGGGTTCACCACAAGATGTAAACTATTGGTGAGCCTCAAAAACAGGAAGATTAGAGTTTGCCAAACGACATCTAAAAAAAGCCTTCACAGTTCTGAAACAAATCCTATGGACAGATGACTTGTACCAGAGTGATGGGAAGAGAAGAGTATGGAGAAGGAAAGGAACTGCTCATGATCCTAAGCATACCACCTTCAGTGAAGCATGGTGGGGGGTAGTGTCATGGCGTGGGCATGTATGGCTGCCAATGGAACTGGTTCTCTTGTATTTATTGATGATGTGACTGCTGACAAAAGCAGCAGGATGAGTTCTGAAGTTTTTCGGGAATATTATCTGCTCATATTCAGCCAAATGCTTCACAACTCTTTGGACGCCGCTTCACAGTGCAGATGGACAATGACCCAAAGTATACTGCAAAAGCAACCAAAGAGTTTTTTAAGGGAAAGAAGTAGAATGTTTTATGCAATGGCCAAGTCAATCACCTGACTTGAATCCGATTGAGCATGCATTTCACTTGCTGAAGACAAAACTGAAGGGAAAATGCCCCAAGAACAAGCAGGAACTCAAGACAGTTGCAGTAGAGGCCTGGCAGAGCATCACCAGGGATAAAACCCAGCGTCTGGTGATGTTCATGCGTTCCAGACTTCAGGCTGTAATTGACTACAAAGGATTTGCAACCAAGTTTTAAAAAGTGAAAGTTTGATTTATGATTATTATTCTGTCCCATTACTTTTGGTCCCTTAACAAGTGGGAGGCACATATGCATACTGTTGTAATCCCTACACCATTCACCTGATTTGGATGTAAATACCCTCAAATTAAAGCTGACAGTCTGCAGTTAAAGCACATCTTGTTTGAAAATCCATTGTGGTGGTGTATAGAGCCAAAAATGTTAGAATTGTGTCGATGTATATTTATGGACTGACTGTAAGTCCATAAAGCCATAGGGATAAAATAATTTTAACTAAAAAAAAGTGAGGCAGCATACCATTTACCAACATCATAGATTGTTAATATATTATATTTATGAACATCTGATTTAAAAAAAAATTAATTTGTAGCATAGTTACTCTAGTAATGCAACTACTTTTAAGGCTTCCAGGTAATTCCAGTTTTTACATGCAAATTACCATTGCCAGAAATGATCACATTAGTACGAATTTGGTTACTTCAACAGACAGCTGTTCAGTATATCATTCGTGCTTATCAATTAAACTCTGTAACAAATTCATTTTAATTTAGTTACTTAAATGCATTCCATGTTCAAATTATGACCTTGTTTCTTCTGCATCCTTGTTCTATTTCAATTAGAAATAATTTATTTTTATTCAGACATATTGCTTATTTTTTCTCCTTAGGCAATGAATATTAACAAAAGCAATAATGATGAAGTACTGCTCTGAAATGCTTTAGTGAACCAGAATATTGCTTCTCTAATCTTATTAAATAAAGCTATAGGGTACAGTACATAGATACTATGCAATCATGTTTTTGAACGTATATATACCCAGTACCCTATATTTGGAAAGGACATTTTGAATACATCTTTCTAGAAT